GCCCGCCTTGTGAGCCTGAGCTGGACGCCTGCTTTGCTTGGGGTGCCTGGTGGGGCTGCCCCTCACTCTGTCTCATTTAGCTGTGAATTTCTCCTGCTCTTTTTGGGGGAGGGAGGACACTCAAAAAGCCCATTATTGTAAACATTGATCCTGATAGGAATCAGTAAAGCAGTGTGTGCTTCCTCCAGGTTGACTTCTTTCTCAGTGATCTGCAGCTTTTCCTCTTTTGATTGATCTTGGCTTTCTCTTGGGCCCCATTCGGCTTCCTTGGGCATCAGGCATGCCTGTGGCTGGAGTTTGACTCTTGGTGGTTTATTTGATCTGCTAAAGCTCTTCCCTCGAAACCCAGCTGAGCCCCCTCCCTGCTCTTCTCTGTGTGAAGGGGAGACCTAGCGCCTGGCCTCCCCCGTCGGCTAGCCTGCTATAATCTGCTGAGCTTCCCCCCGCGAAGGGTGTCTGTTCTTCGTCCCACTTTACGTCCGTACCAGCTCATGGTCCTCTTTATAACTCTGTGCTCCTCAATAGCCCGTATTCCTTATGTAGAACAGAAAAAAATTGAGAAGAAATTTAAATGAGGTTTTGAAAAGTGGTTTAGATTGGCGTTAGCCCACGGTCAGAATTCGTTTCAGCAAAACTGTGAAATTCTCATGCCCTTGGCAGAAGCGTCCTTATTTTAGACGGAGTGTGAAGCATCAGAATATCTGGGAGGACGGGGAGAAAGACTGGCGGCCTTATCAGGACTTGACAGCAGCCCCAGTGCAAGATGGCTGGTCTGGTGTCCTGCCGGCCCCTGGCTCCCAACTGCTGGCAGGTTCCTGCCTTTTTCAAGTGTCTGCTTGTAGTTCCAGCTCAGGGGATGCTCACAGCTTGGATCAATAAGGACTGTTTTTTTTGGGATAGAAATGTTATTAACAAGTTCTGATTCACTCACGTCTTCCGTTCCTCACATCACCATAGTAGACCGTGTGTCCTCCCAGAAAGCCATTCTGTTTTGGAGAGAGAGGAAAACTAAACCAGCCCCAGTGATCGACAGGTTGTAGAAGCCCAGGAAACTGGGCCACGTGTGGCCCGGTGGTCCTCTCCCTTGCCCCGGCGTGGGCTAGGTCTCTCTTCTCAGCTCCCTTCCTTCTGCTCGGCCTTGATCTCTTCGTTACACTCGCTTCTGAGTGTTTGGTCGTCTTCTTGTTGTTCTTGCAATTGACGTGGTTGTCGTCGCTTGGCTTTGCTCATCTGCCTCTGCATCGGTTCGTGTAGATCTGTCCAGGCTTCTCTGTCTCCTTCTCATATGTCATTTCCTGTCATGCAGCCATGTTGCATTTCTGTCATGGACTGTGATTTGTTTCGCCATTCTCCAGTTGAGGGGCAGGTACTTTGTTTCTGATTCTTCGATATCCCAAAAGAGTGCTCCTATACATATTTTGGAGTATGTGGAGACTTTTTTCCTTATTGATGGCTTCCTTGGGATGTAACCCACTAATGGAGTCCCTGTGTCTAAGGCTATGGGCATTTTTAGTCACTTTATTTGCATAATTCTAAATTGCTTTCCAAAATGGCCATGCCATTTGACAGCTCCACCAATGATGTATTGCATTGACTGTTGCCGTTTTGGGTCATTTTTGCTGGTTTGCAGGGAAGGAGGTGAAACATCAGGCTGTTTTTTGATGTGTGTTTCTCTTATTTTTAGGGATTTGGAGCATTCTTTCATGTGGTTGTGAATTCTTTGCAATTTTTTTGAGAACTGTTTATTCATGTGCTGCGGTGACTGTTGGTCATATGCATATACATGTACATATGCATACGCATACACATGTTAATTGATGGTGTGTCTTGGATTCTAGCCCTTTCTTAGCCGGGTGCGTTAATGGCGTCTGGGCAGAAGTTTTTCAGTTTTGAACAGAGTTGCCTGTTTTCTTCTTCTCTTGTAATTATCTCCGTCTTGTGTTTGGTTCAGAATGTGTTTTCTCTATCTGTGTGCACGTGGGGCTTGCCGTATCTGTTTCCCCTCCTGCCCATTTCCTTATGTGCTTCATACTTTCCTAGAGTTTTTTAGAGCGAGGTCCCTGATAGACTTTGCTGGTGATAGTACAGAAGCCTCCTTGTCTTTCCTCTTTTTGTAGTGCTCAGAGGCACACAAAGTGCTTGGACCAAGGGGGAGGTGGGTGGTATTTGGGCCCCAGAAGAGATTGATGCCTTTACGAGACTTGCCCAGCAAATAAACGTCCCTGCTGGCGCCCATGCTTCCAGACCTGCTGCCGGGGACCACTCCTGCCCTTGGGGGCTAGCTGCAATCAGCTGTGCTGGCTTGTGGTGAACAGGTGTTGGCCGGGGGGGGGGGGGGAAGGAGATGGTGTGTGAAGGGTATTGACATCAACTTTGGCAGGAGGGGAGAGAGTGTGTGAGTGCGGGGTGGAGCACAGCAAGAAATGGCCATCAGTGAGTGTCAGGAAATTAAGTGAGCAACAAAGTCCCCTGATGGGATGGATTTGGGTAGACCACACACATCCTCCAAAACAGAGGCTTTTATGGATACCCTTGGGGGAGAAGGAAGAGAGAAGGACCTGTCTGTGACACAGCAGGGCCACCTGCTAGAGGAGCATTGCCTGCCCATCTCCCATGGACTGTCGTGGATTGGTCCAGGCAGCCGGGAGGCAAAGGGGAGCTGGGGCGGAAGGACCTGGACCCTGGGGAGACTTTGGCAGAGCAGCCTTGCCTTAGGGTTTTCTAAAGTTCCCAGCTGCCGTTGTGTGTGACCTCACGTGTGCACTCGCTACCCTGGCTGGGGTTGGGGGGGTCTTGGCCCGATCTTACCGGTTCACCAAAGGGTACAGTTGAAGACCGTACAAAAGCTGGGAGGGTTCTTGTAAGAGACGCTGAGTAGTGGAACAAGGTCACGAGATTCCATTGGGGACATCATGTTTTGGTCTTCACATCAACAGCCACCCGAGGCAGTGGAGCCAGAGGACTTCGTTAGCAGCATTTGGGGGTAGACTTGTTTATGTTTTTTTGTTCAAATACTTTCCATTTGCTTCTCTAGAGAGAAGATGATGAAGAAATCCAAGCTCTGAAAGAGAAGTTAAAATATTGGCAGAGGCTGCGGCATGACCTGGAGAGAGCACGGCTGCTGGTGGAGCTTATCCGGAAACGGGAAAAATTGAAGCGAGAACAGGTGAGGGGAGTTTTTCTGGAAAGCCCGAAATCTGCAGCCAGAACGATGGCTTGTTGAGCGCCCTCCATCTGGCACAGTGTCCTCCCTGACAGGTGACTGGGAATCGGGGTGGGGAGGCACCCCCGGCAGACTGATTCGTGGGTATGTGCACAGGCCTGCGGCCCGGCCATTGGCTACACTCCCTCTGCATTAAGATGCTGAGGACTTGGCGCGCCAGAGGGGAGGCTTGTTGCTTGCCAGGTACGTGCCGGGCCTGTCTGTCTCTGCCCTTGACCTCCTCTGCTCTGTGTAGGTGAAGGTGGAGCAAGTCGCCTTGGAGTTACAGTTGACGCCGTTCACGGTTCTCCTACGGTCAGTACTGGACCAGCTGCAGGAGAAAGACCCTGCACGCATCTTTGCCCAGCCGGTGAATCTGAAAGAGGTGTGTGCTTGGCTGCTGGCAGGCCACGGCCTCCTTGCCGGCCATTCCGTTAGCCAGTCCATAGTTTACGTCGTTTCAGTCTGAAGTTTAAATTTCATTTGAATGTCCTTTCTGACAAAATGTTCGGAAGCACAGATTGTTATTTCCCTGCTTATTTTCCAGTAGGAGAATGTGGGTTTGGTTTTGTTTTTTTTTTTTACTGGAAATGGTGTGCTTGTATCTTTGTTCTTGCAAGGTGTTTTCCGCCCTTTGGCTCTCTGCATATCTTATTTGTAAATCTTTAATATTTATTCAAGCTTTATCTGACAGTGATTTGTTCCTTAAGTTAATGTACATCCTAAAAAGAAAAAATCCTTGTTTTTTGATTTCTGTCTCTCGGACAATACGCTTAGCTTTATGTGTTATTTCCTTTTCCTTGATTTCATGGCAAATTTGAGGTTTAAATGTGTATTCTTTGTTAAGTAGAAAAAATGTACCTTGTTTTCTTGTTTTTTGTTTTAGATAATTTTATTTGTTTTTTTGTTTTTTTTTTGTTTTTGTTTTTTGTTTTTTGTTTTTTATTTAATCTCAAATCTCAGGTTCCAGATTATTTGGATCACATAAAACATCCCATGGACTTTGCTACAATGAGGAAACGGTTAGATGCTCAAGGTTACAGAGACCTCAATGAGTTTGAAGAAGACTTTCATCTCATTATAGATAATTGTATGAAGTACAATGCCAAGGATACCATATTTTATAGAGCAGCCGTGCGGCTGAGAGACCAGGGCGGGCTTGTCCTGAGGCAGACCCGGCGGGACGCAGAAGGGATTGGTTTTGATCATGAAACTGGAATGCACTTACCCGAACGGCCGCACTTGGAGCCTCCTCGGCCCTTTTCTTGGGAAGATGGTAAGAAGCGGTGTCTGCAGTCAGTGTTTTTCAAGCTTGTAAACTGAATGGAGTTGTTAGACGGGAGTGGCAAGGACCTGGCACTTTAGTGGCTGCAGCAGGTGCCGTGATCTACACTCGAAAGCCCCATTAATGGTCTGTGCCTTGGGTCCTGAACGACAGAGGGACAGCCCTGTTGTTCTTCTCCGGCTCAGGCCATACCTGGGGTCTCGTGGGCGGTTGTGGGCACTTTAGAAAGGATTTTCAGTGGAGGGTACTGTGGATGGTTGGGTGAGTGGAAAGCAAGCCGTTTGAAGACTGGTGAAAGGAACACTAGAGAATGAGTGAATGCTTGGTGGGCGTCTCAGAGGCTGTCCTGGGAACATGGGTAGGAATTGGTGGGCTTGGTGTGGGGAAGTTTCAGAGAGGCCGGTTTTGAATTCATTTCCCCCAGAATGCAGCAGGCTGTCTTGTGAAGCTGCGGCTTTTCGTAGTTGGAGGCCTTGAAGCAGATTTTGAATCCAGGGCCTTCTGCCTGTGATTCCAGTTCCCTGGGTTAGAAATAATGCAGGGAAATTTTTTGGGCATGGTGTTGTGACCAGGTCTTCTTAGCCGTGGGGATAAAGGAGCAGGCATCTGGGCAGACCCTGGGATGCTGCCGAGCTTTGGGAGAGCACATTTCCTAGGGTGCAGAGGAAGAGGGGAGCTCAGAGCCTGGGGCTGGAACTTTGACAGGGGCAGAAGTCAGGTCAGGAGGGATGGCGGCACTCTTTGAAGATGTGGGGCAACGGTGCTGACAGAGCAGTGCGGGCAGCAGTCCCCAGGGTGATTCACTGACCCTCACGGGTTTCTCGAAGGCGTGCCTGTGGGAGCAGGGCGAGGACGGACAGCAGAGTGAAGGCCGTGCTGTGCCTCTAGCCGGGCGCCTCTTTTGTCTGCCAAGGACAGTGCTGAAATGGTGAGAAAGGGAGTTGATGCAGCTAACATTTATTGAGCACTTCTGTGTGCCAGGCCTGGGGCTAAGTACTCCACAGTTATTATTATCTCAGTGGATTCTCACAACAGCCTAGGAGGGAGCAGGGGCCCTGGTTGCTCCCATTTCACAGAGGCAGGCACTGAGACAGGCAGAGGTGAAATGACTTGCCCAGGGGGACAGGCGAAACTGGAGCTCAAGTCTTTCTGACTGGCAGCCCAGGGTTCTCTCTGCTGGGTCACCAGCTGCCTTGAGTCCAAGTCTGGGCCAGATCAGCCATATTCCAGGGTACCGGTGGGTGTGGTTGATGAGTCACTGTCAGCGATCTTGAAAGACTGGAAAGTGCAGAGGTGCTAGATTATAAGATTGGAAGAAAGCAGACGTCCTGCTTTTCAGAAAGGGAAGAGTCCGGGCTGGCAAACTCGCAGGCTTCGGCCGCTGGGAGCAGTGGAGAAAGTTTGATTACGAGGGGCTTCGTGAGGACCTGAAGTGTGGTCACAAAGCCGGCAGCGATGGTGGCTTTCTCCTCCCTGGCCTGGTTGGACTGGGTCAGAGTCCGTCGTGCTGACCCGACGGAGAAGATGAGAGGTGGAGCGTGGGCGAGAGGAAAGGTTGGCTGTCGGCCGGGAAGGCGGATGTGGCCTGGCCCGTGACGTGTGTAGACCCCAGAATGACTTCTAGAGCATTGAATGCCGGGCTGAACCGAACGCGGGGCGGCTGAATAGCAAGAAGGGCACATCTTGCACTTGAAGAGGTCGGGGGCTGGCGGGCTGCTTACGCTGTTGTTGCTCAGAAAGAGATCTGGGGATTTTGGGGGAGGTGACTGCCCCAACCAGCCTAGGCCAGGTCAGGAATGAGGAGATGCTGGTCCAGAGATAACACATACTCTCGTCTGGCCCTTGTGAATGTGGCCTTTTGGGAAGGCCGTTGGTTAGGTGGGAAGTGCTGTGGGCAGAGGGGAAGGTGGCAACTGATTGAAGGCTCTGCAGTGGTGAGGGCTTGGGGCCTACGCCAGCTGCCCCCCATTGCTGGGAGAGCTGTCGCCGCTTGTCTTTGCCCTGGAAACAGGTGCTTTGAAGATGACCCAGTCACCTTGAGCTACTGGACTGAGCTCCACCCACCTAGGTATACTGTGCCCCAGCCCTGGGAGAGGAAGCATTGGCAGCCAAGGCCTCGACGGGTGACGTGCCCTCTCCCTGGGTCAGACCAGGCTGGGCTTGGCTCTTCAGGCAGTAGCAGAAAGGTCACTGCCCAAGGCTCCCACTCAGAGATAGTGAGATCACAGGGCCTGGATTCCCTGGCCAGTGAGGGCTCTCGAGGCAGCTCATCCCTGTTAGATTGGGAGCACTGTAAAAACTGATGTCAGCTTTAGAATCTGAGTCGGGCTGCTCCGAATGTCTGTTCTCTTCATAGACCTCTGGTCAGGGAGCTCACGGCACCGAGATTTCTTTTGGGGTCACTTTGCGCCCCCCACCCTGCTGGTGCTCCGCCTGCTACTTGGCTGGCATGTTGTCTTGGCTATTCCAGGGCAGGGTTTCAAAGCTACTCAATATTCAGCCAGCCTACAGTTAGACTGTGATTTCTTCATTTCATCAACAGCAAACGTTGGTTTTTTTTTTTTTTTTTTTAAACAAATACAAAATGGCAGACGTGTTCAGGATACCAAGCACAGTGGATGGACCTGCAGGGTCAGAGGAATCTATTGTGGAAAGACTCTTGGCCTTCCCTGGGGTAGGTTTTGGTCCCTGGAAGAGCCAACCTAGTCAGCACAGCCAGTGCAGGACTTTATTAGGGGCCAGGGGAAAGAGGCGCGAAACAGGGGAGGCCGTACACTGTGTCTTAAGTGATTTCTTCCCATGGCTCTCAGAAAACCATGTGGCAGTTGGAGATTAGCGAGGCCCAACATGGCTTTTTAGCCTCCAGAACAAATTTCTAAATGCCACACGTTCTGCAGGAGGATAGAATAGGCTGAAGAGAAAAAAATATTCTCGTCAAAAATGGGCTGTCAAATGGTTGAATTAGTATAATGCTGTGTTCCCTCTAAGTCAGAAAAGCCATGTGTGTGTGTGTCTGTGTGTGTGTGTGTCTCTGTGTGTCTGTGTGTGCGTGATTGAAGGACCAGAAGCGAGTCTTGCCTGGCTCTCTGCCCTCTTGTCCTGTTTGGTTTGAACGGAGCCTCTCCATGGCCCTCTCCGTGCCCCTTTCCCGTGCAGCCAGATCCTCCCTTGGGGCGCTCAACTTCCAGGTGTCATCACTGGAAGAAGGCGTGTGTGGTGACATGCTACCCCCGCAGTTTGGAGGGGCTCCTCTTTGGGGCCTGAAAGGACAAATGCTTTATGCTGTTGCGGTTGTCCATGGCCTGTGCCTTCGTTATGCGTCTGTGCTGTTGATCCAGCTCTGGGGCAGCCACCATATCTGGTGGGAGAGTGGGCCTTGGATTCGTTCAGTGCACATGGGGAGGAAGGCTAACGAATGGCCTTCATTTTCTTGACTTGAGTAGAGGGCTTGGGGTTTTATTTTATTTTTATTCTGTGATGACAGAACAATTTTTGGCCAATTTATTGATTTCATATCGTGGTTGTTCCTTTCTCCGTGGTTTTTTTTTTTTGTTTGTTTAGAAATGTGGTTCCCAATTGTGTGATAAGACTGCTTGAATTTTCTGTTTGTGCTCCCAGGATACATGCGGGAGGCAGCCGGCTGTCTTGGAGTCACATGTTTAGGTCTGGAATATTAACTAACAAATCCTGATTTGTCAAATTTTTTTTATAGACCAGGACCATAATTAATCTCTTTGTTTTCTGTGTAGACATCTCTCTGCTGGCAGCTCTACTTGAGGCTTTGCCCCTGGCCTGGAATACGTTCTAGATCTTTATGTGATGGTCTGCCCAAGTCGTAGAATAAGGAAAAGCGGAGCTGGATTTTTAAACCAGTTGTATTTTATCTGTGTGGGCTTGTGTGCCAGACCTTACAGTACCGGACATCATGACTGTTGTTCTCAGAGGGCAGAGCTTTGTCCCGTCTGTGTGTGTGTGTGTACACATATGTACACAACCTGTGTGGTTGATATATTTACATGCATCAGCTTTGGAAACATGGTTTCTCTCATCTTTAGGCTGTAACAGAAATTTGCTCATCCAAATAGCAGGTAGGAGATTTGTGGACCATTTCCTCTTAGTGTTAGAACTACTTTGGCAACAAAAACAGGTTTAGGAAACCATTTTGGGGCAGTGATTTCTTGTGCTAACGTACAAGACTGTTACACAAACGAGTTGTTAATCAAATACCTTCCTCCCTCTTTCTTTGCCTTCAGTGGATCGGTTACTAAATCCAGCTAACCGAGCGCACATGTCCTTGGAAGAACAGCTCAGAGAGTTATTGGACAAACTGGATCTGACGTGCTCCATGAAATCCAGTGGCTCAAGAAGTAAACGAGCAAAGTTATTAAAAAAAGAAATTGCTGTTATTCGAAACAAGCTAAGTCAACCAAACAGCCAACCCCCTCCACTGGAGTCAGGTACTGGGAGCTTGGAAGAGGAAGGGGCGCCATTAGAACAGGAAGCAGACGAGGAAGGTAAGGAGGGCACCTCTGTCATGGGCTTTCTGTTGGCTGATGCGGGGGTGGGGAGGGCTTCTTATTCTACCAGGTGTCCAGGACTAGAACAGGGGCCCATAGCTTGATGATGAATTATTGAGACATTTTGTCAGAAACATTCTCAGAGCTAGAATTCTGATCAAAGGGCTTCCTGTCCAGACATCTTTGCTTTTATAAATTAAGTTTGTGCATATGCTGTATTTGATTTCTTTTAAAATTACTTGTTCACAAAATATACATATAAGCGACTGATTTAAAAAAAAAATTGGTTACAATCTTAACAGGTGAGCAAAGAAGCCTAAAAACCTGGTGTAGAATCTTCTGTGAACATTTAATGAGATAGAAGTGCAGGGAGTGAAGGTGCCGAGAAGACTCTTTTCCTTCCTCGGCCCCCCGGCTTCCTCTGATCTCCCCCTTGCTTTCCCTTTTTCCCTTTCCTGCTTTGTATGTTTGTGTCAGAGAGTGCGCGTGTGTTTGAACTGCCAGTTTTTCATAATTTTCCCAACTTAGGCAAGAGACTAGAAAAATTTAAACAGAACTGAACAGCAAAGAAAGATTGGCCCAATTCTCTTGGATCCTCGGCTCGGACACCCTGGTGTTGGGTTTGGTAAAACCAGGCGTGGTCCCTGCGGGGTCCGCGCCACATGAAGAGTTTTAGCTGGGGTCGCTACTTGAGTAGTGTCATGAAACTGCTTATCCCCAGGCTGCTGAAGGAGGAGCAGGTGAAGCCTTGGTTTCCCTGAAGCTGCTGGTCTCAAATGGTTGTGGAGTCTCCATGTAATGAAAGTCATGGGGGCAAGGGCAGAGACAGGAGGGCTGCTGGACCACGAGTGGGAAGGCGCTCAGCTTTCTGGAAGGAGAGCCTGGCCTCTCTGTGTGCTCTGACTTGAGCTGGCCTCCTTGGGAGGTCTCCCTGTTCTTTAGATGGTGTGTGTGTGCGCGCAAAGATGCATCTGGGCATGCACCCAGATGTGTGCAGGGTTATCTAGCTGTCTCTGTACAGATGCTTACTTGCCCACAGATACATCTGTGCGATTCTGTGCACGTGCCTGCACAGATGTGTCTACAGATGTCTGCATCCATAGGTATACAGCTGCACGGTGTGCACAGTGCATCTATGCATGCATGCACATATATGTAACGTATGCACAGGAAACCCGGACACACACATGCACACGTCTGTGTATGCATACAGCTGAAATTTCACAGACACATACACAGGCACACTGAACACACGGACACCTACATGTGTATCCATGTACATGCAGGCGCACGTTTCTGTGCACATGTGTATAAACACACATGCACACATGTATATGTACACGCATATACAAATATATATCTACATGTATGTGTGTGGAGGGAAAAAAGTTATTTTTGGAAGAAAATCAAAGAAAGAAATGTAAAATCCAGTGAAAAGGGCCCCAGACAGACATTTACGGTTATATATCATTGTTCTGTCTTTCCTGTGGTCCTTCCCCAAAAGAGAGAACATAATGCCATGTTGTTTATACTCATTCTCTGGCTCCCCAGTCCTCCATTTTTGGAGCAGTCCAGGCATTAGCATTTCAAGGTGGGAGACAGATTTATTCCCTGAAGAAAAACTCGAGGGATGCCCATGCTGTGAGTTGTTCCCAGAAGGCCGAGGCTACTTCTTGCTTGGCCCCGCTCTGGGTCACCCGGGGGCTCTGTGTGATGGTTCCTACCCGTAGGGCCTTGGACGTGGCTTTGAGAGGCTAGGCCCAGCCTTTCTCCTTTCTCCCTGTCTCCTGGCCGGCCTTTCCTTCCTGGGAAGATGAGGCTGGGACTGCTTGCCTGGCGCTCCCTCTGCTTGGCTCATCTTTTATTGGTTTCATCCTTTGCCTTTGTTTTGCCGCTTGGAAGGTCAGCCCTTGACTAGTGGTCTTTTTGGTGTAAAACAGTATTTGGGGATGGACTGTAAGCTGATGTAAAAGATGAGGCTTCTCAGCATTCAGGCCTATGTTCCTTTTGTTAAGAACTCAGTTTTCCTGGGGATCCCTCATGGCCCCCAAAGGTGTCTCCCACTCCTGGAGATCCTGCCCTTACAACAAAGAGGTTTTAAAAACTCATTTTTATTTTTTTCCCAGGCCCACACTCTCCCTGTCTCTCACTTCCTCCCCTCATTGAGATAACCAGAAAACCCAGACCCTCAAAGAAAGAGGTTTTTTAAAAGAGTAGGAAGAGGAAAGCACACAGCAGAACACATGAGCACACAGACGGCATTGGCTGCTTCATGCAGCGCCGACCCCAGCTTCTGCACCAAAGGGAGGGCTGGGGGGGGCCATGCACCACTTGGCCTTGATGGCCATTGGCGCCCCTGCCACCACCTTGGAGTATGGGTTCAGCAGGCCTGGGGAAGGTTTTTCTGCATTTCTCAGGAGGAGTTTTTGTGAGGAAGAGCAGGGCCAGGGCCATGTGTTAATGGGTGCCCCTGGTCATGCGTGGGGCTTTCTGATCCCCAGCTGCTTGGTCATGGGGCCCAGCACACGTGGGCCTCCGCAGTATTCTGGGTGGTGTTTGTCTGTGCGCTCCTGAAGCAGCAGGCACTGACCGGCCCTGGAAGGGCTGCAGGACACCCCGGCTTTCAGTTCACGTTGAAGGCCCTAGAGCCGTTCTTGGGGTCTGTTGTGGCCTCCCTTGTTTGCTCTATCCCCGACTCAGGCTCGTTTCTTACTCGTTTGTTGGGCTGTAGAAATGTGGCAGCTAAGAATTTTTTATTCATAGCAGTTTATCATTGGCAATCAGAGAAAAACAGATTCTCTCCCTTTAGAAATTACCTTCTCTAGTCCTTCCCACTTCCAATCCCCGTCCCCTGATCAGTCAGTCAGCCTTTATTCGGCACCTACTGTGTGCCAGGCCCAGTGCTGAGTAGTCACGACCTCCCATGCCCCTCTCTGGCCTTAGAGACTGACTGGCTTGCTGGGAATTTGCTGCCAGAGGGAGCTGCGGCTTTAACCCCTTTCTCCTCCTGATTCTTCCTGGATCCACGTGGGCAGCAGCTTACCAGGGCTGGCTGCAGCCAGGCCCCCCTGGGTTTGGGGCTAGAATGAGGGTGGCCTCCCTGGGTTATGCTTTCTTGGCTCTCTTACCCATACGAAGGATTGACAGGGACACACTGAGCTTCCCATTCTAGTCCACAGGGAAGGAGAGAGGAAAGGTTAACAGCTCTTCATAGGTTGATGTTTTCTTGGAAGAAAACCTTGTCTGAAGTTAGAGAAAGAAAACTGAAAGACTCGTCACTTTGATGGAACTTGCTTTTAAGGTTCTATTAGTCACTGGTGGAGGTTTAGAAAAAAAATCATTATTTTATTGGAGAAAGATTTTTCCAGGCTAGAATCTTAGTGCCCTTTGTAAGCTTAATTACATTAATAAATGTGTACTGTAATTCAGTTTTGAGTCTAAAAAACTTTCGAGTCTTATCCTCAGGTTCTCGGGAAGCGTGGCCTTCTTTCTGCTGATTATGCTGGCTCTTCTCCAGGCTCATTAGGCAGAGTAGGGCGGGCAGCCTTGGTGTGGGTAGTGACAGCAATATCTGTTAGGTCTGGACCAGCCTGAAGAGATGGCAGTCAGCAGTCTGTTATTGAAGGATGTATCACTTCCTCAGGCTTTACCTGAGAGCCATGGAAAGCGGAACCTGCAGCCCCAAGTGCCTCCCCTTGAGGCTGCTGGGTGGGGCAGGGTCAGAATCGGGCGCATTTTCTGGAAGCCCATGGCCAGGGTAGGAGAGACAGGGACCAGTGTGGGCCAGGCGTGGGCCCGGCGTGGGCCTCCCCGTGCTCTGGGTGCCTGGCCATCTTGTCACCTTCAGATCCTGCGATGAAAAGAACCCAGGGCAGGTTGGGGTGTGGGAATAGCTTTTTTGGTCTCTCGAGATGTTTTTCTTCATGTTAAAATTAACAAGTTTTTAAATCTTGTTTCCTAAGTATTGGGAAGCAGTTTAATGGATTAGTCGGTCACGTCCCTTGGGACTTTTAAAAAATCATCAATTTTGATGATCCGCAGGCTGTGCGGACTGATCTTTGGAAGTGATTTTTACTGTAGCTGCTTTTTGAGGATGAGTAAGTCAGCCAGAAAGTCACTGACATTTTTTCCCTCAGTCAGCCAGTACTGTTGGTCTTCTCTTGTCTTCTGGGGTAGGGGGAAAATTGGGACCTGAAGATAGAGTGAAATGGAGTAATGAATAGGTGATTATGAATAAAGACAGCTGATGCCCTTGGCCCGAGGAGAGCCCTTCTTCAGGAGGCCTCGGTTAGTTCTGTCATAGAATACGGAAGCAGGCGGCCAGCCTGCTGCCTGCCCTGGCAGGGCGCCGGCCCCCGTGGCCAGCCTGTTTGCCTGGGGAGCGAAGGAGGGACGTTTGCCATCCGCCTTCGGGTCTGGCCCGACGACAATGGCGTGGGCTCTCAGCCGCGAAGGCTGGAGAAAGGGCCCTTTTTTTTCTTTTTAGGTAGTCCTAATTTATTTTAAGTGATTGAGGCAGTGTTTACAAGCTTTTCAACACCTTTGTCCCTAGGGGCATTGTAACAGCGCACAGAGCTCTGCTCTTCCTTTGGGATGGTGGAACGCGTCTCCGTCCTCTCCGAGGAGCCAGGAACATAAGGCAGTTTTGGAATCTTGCCCTCTCTCACAGACTGCTTTGGTGTCCTGTACTTTTTTGTGAGTCAGAGGAAGCTCTCTCTGCTTTGCTTTTAGAGTGTTTGCTCAGAAAAAGCCTTTCTTTTTCAAGGTTAGCATTGGAAGTGAGTAGATTTTAATTAGTTTGTAAGAACTGTGTCTTGAGAATATATTTTTAAAATCCACAGACACAAGTTCAGACAATCTCAGAGCCCGAGGCATTGAGGCAGTACAGTGCAGAGAGGGTCTGGAAGATTTGAGTTCAAATCCTGTTTCAGGGTGATCCTGGACAAGTCACCTAATGTCTCATTGTCTCAGTTTCCTCATCTGTAAAATGGGGGATAATAAGAGCACGTACCTCCCAGGGTTGTGAGGATCAAGTGAGATACTTGTATAAAAGTGTTTTGTGATGTGCCTGGCCCAGAGTAAGTGTATAGTATGTAATATAATAAAGGCGTGTTCTCTGCCCTTCCTTTTCCACAATTTTGGACACAACCTTTTCTGTTTTGAGTAATGATGATCAGAAAACTCTTTTCCCTCCTCAAGTAAATCCCGACATAAATAGCATCTCGAGAGGGTAGATAGATGGTATTTTAAGTTGTGAAAGCCCAACCAGTTTTATGAGTAATTTAGAAAAATTAGGTGATAAGAACTGGAGAGAGGAGGAGGAGATGAGAAGATCTTCAGAGTTATGCCGTCACCACAGTGGTAATAACCACCCTTGTCACCATCAGTGAGGGAAGTGATACTGCTTTGTGTTTGCACACCATCTGGGTGGGCCTGACGTCTCCCGCAGCCTCTGACTGCACATTGGTAGTTTTAATGTTCGGTAAGAGAGCTGAATGACTTCATGGAATGACATGAATCTCCTTGGATGAGTGATCAGAAAGTAACCAGGTGCCCCTCGAGCCTTTTTTGAGATTGTAAGTGGACGTTCTGTATACTTGGAAGGCCAGAACCTTTCACCTGTCCTGCACGGGGTTCCTGGACCTAAGTCTAGCTCTGCCCCTCCAGACTACTCCTGGGGAAGAAGCCCCATGAGGCCCCGGTCTGCTTGGTAGCCTGCTATTTATTACCCAAGTTGGAGGGCGCAGACTGAAAAAGGCCAGTGTTTTTCAGTCCTTGCAGACATTCCAGGCTACCTTTTTTGTTTTGTCCTAAGTCACAAAAATAATTTTAGGATGTTTTAAGTGAATGAGAGAGTAAGTGGAAGAGGCACAGTACTTTCTCTAACTGAAGTTTTCCAAGGTCTTGTGAGAGGTCATTTACACGCCTGGCTCTGGGCGTGTTTGGTACCACAGTGCATGGATGTTTCTCTGTCAGGGACTGTCCCTGGCCTGGGGAGAAGCTTGCTCTAAATCAGGGGTGGGAACCTGCAACCTCGAGGCCACGTGGGGCCCTCTGGGTCCTTAGGTGCGGCCTTTTAACTGAGTCTGAGTTTTACAGAACAAAACCTTTTCTGATTTCCGAAGGGGATTTGTTTCGTGAAGTTTGGATTCGGTCAGAGGGCCGCCCTCGAGGACCCAGAGGGCCGTGTGTGGCCTCGAGCACGCGGGTTCCCGCCCCTGCGTAAGTGGTGACCGCCCGCTCGAAGCCCTGGGAAAGCTCTCTCTGATCCGAGTCAGGTCTCGGGATTCAGGCCGTGTGTCTGGATGAAGTGAATTGAACCAAGCCCCCTTTCTGTCTGTCACACTGGCTGTGTCGTGGTGCGAGGAGGCTTGAGATGGCAGCTCCCCTAAGTTGCCTTCGGTTTTGTGAAGGCTTCCCCTTCAGGTAAGCTCAGCGGTCCCGTGAGCCTTGTTCGTGAGGCCAGAGCTGCCTTTGCAGAGTGGCGTGTGGGAAATGATCTTTCCTAATTTTTTGACTGACAGTGATTTTCCAAACACCGAAGCCTGAACCAAAGCAGCTCAAGTCTGCTGAGCCCTCTGCCGTTAGACCAACCTGCAGGCGGGCGAAACCTTTAGCGCTGGCTTTCAGCTTCACTCTGCCGTGCAGGCTACAATCACAAGAGACGTTCTGACTACTAAGTAGGAGAGCTCGTGGCTAGCAGACATCTATGTATATAAAATATCATGCGTTGTTTCCTTAACTGAACTTAGCATTTTGGTGGACGTCACATTTATAATAAGTTTTATAATACATCTTTTAATGATCAGTTTTCAAAAATCACCCTTTATTTATAATTTTTTCAGGAGATAAATCTCCCCCTAAACTTGAACCATCAGATGCATTACCTGTTCCTTCAAACTCGGAGACTAATTCAGAACCACCAACCCTCAAACCAGTAGAACTCAATCCAGAGCAGAGTAAACCATTCAAAAGAGTAAAATTTGATAATGAATTATATAGCACGTCCATTCAGAAAGAAATGGTAAATGGACACACTCCAGAACATAAACCTGACAGTAATCTCAATGATTCGACAGTCTCTGCAGTAGCTGAGTCATCCACCGATGTAAACAGACGTACCTCTGTTCTCTTCTGCAAATCGAAAAGTGTAAGCCCCCCCAAGCCTGCCAAGACCACTGAGACCCAGCCAACTTCTCCACAGCTAGGGACCAAAACCTTTTTGTCTGTAGTCCTTCCAAGGTTGGAGACACTTCTGCAGCCAAGGAAAAGGTCCCGGAGCGCCTGCGCAGATTCCGAAGCGGACGAGGAGTCCCCGGGAAAGCGCCTGGACACAGGTGAGCGGCATCTGCGGGGCTTCTGTCTCTGGGGCGCACCCGGCGTGCTTCTGTGTGCTGGCCTCTGTGCGTGTGTGCATGTGTGCACAGGTGCCCGTGTGGGTGCGGGAGAGGCAAACACGTGATAATTTTAGCAGTTATGGTTTTGATTGTTTAAAAAAAGTAGAAGTCAGCTAGTTCAGGTCCAGCGAGTGTGCAGTGTCCATCTGGTTGAGCTTATGCTCCGTGTCCCTCCAGTTGTCCCTTGGAGCCTAACAGCACGAGTGAGGGCCGATATGGGTTACAGTTCCCCGTGTCTCTTACCCCCCTCCCCCACATCCCCTTGTGCCCTGCTGTTAATCTGTCATCCAGTGTTCTCTTGGTTTCCGGGAGAGAAGAGCATGGCTGTGTTCCCCAGAAGCCATCCAGTTAGGTGTTGAGGCTTGGGTTCAAGGTTGCACAATCCTAGGCCCTTCATTTGCCCTTGCATGTGTCTTGATATTTTCCCCTTTTTGCTCTGCCCACACAGAGTTGGGGCATCTGGGCCGTGCCTAGCACATTGGAGTGGCTGGGACTTGGGAGGGGTGAAAAGAGGAATTAAATGTGCAGATATGCTGCCTGTGAGCGGCAGCCTCCAATGCTAAATGGAGGTGGTTTTGGTTATGACCCTCTCTGAGGTCATCCTCAGGGCAGCTGGACAGTGCAGCTCAGGTGCTCAGGGGCTGCTGAGACAGTTTGTTGGTGACTGCCCTGCATGGGCGTGACCTTGTATAAGAAGGAACAAATGAGGGTTGTTCACTTGAGGTAACGTCAAGGCTGAGTGAACATCCTTTCTGGTCGGGTGGGCGTCCACTATTATCTGCGTATAATGAGGGGAAGACAGTCCCCAAGGGACTTTCTAGCCTTTCTCTCAGTGACCTTTGCCGAAGCATATTTTCCTTCATGGAACTTTACAGAAATGCCTTGTTCTGGCACCGGGTGCTGCTTCTCCTTCAAAACCTGTGCTTGGAGGTAATCCTTCATTGAAGGATTACAGTGGGGAAAAAAATGGAAAATCTCTGAGTTAATATTGTCATGGTGTGGCTCTTCATGTGTTCCTGAAGCATTTTATTATGTCCCTGTGCCCATCGGTCCTTCAGAAGGGGGCTTACATGCCAGTCTCTGCATCTCTCCTCTTTCCAGCCACTGCCCTGCTGTTTGGCAGAAAGGACAAGACCGATGACTTTTTTTTTTTTTTTAAATTTTTTTCCCTTTTTAGCCATTAGGTGTTAAGTGACTTGCCCAGGGTCACGCAGCTAGTAAGTGTCGAGTGTTTGGTCTGAGGCCGGATTTGAACTCAGGTCCTCCTGACTTCGGGGCCGGTGCTCTATCCATTGTGCCACCTAGCTGCCCCCCGACCGATGACTTTTTAAGTTGTTCTTTGTCTTATGAATCGCTTTGGCCAAAGACTTGATTTCCTCCCGACCAGCTGGCCCCTGCAGGTGATGAGTCCTGCCCCAGGTGGTCTGTGGCCCACGGTCCATAGACAGCAGGACGAGTTTGTCACCAGAAATGGCCTTGGAGTCTTTGTGTCTGACAGGTAGGACCTGTCAGAATTTATTTTCTGCTGGCCTAGCCTCCACGAGCCCAGGGTGTGATGGAGAGATGATGGAAGAGTGGAATCTCTTGGTGGGGTGGCCCTCCCCGAACGTGGCTGGTTCTGCTCTGATGAGGTGTCACCGAGTACTGCAGCAGCCTGGGTTTTGGTTTTGCTGCTCCTTCTCCAATCAAAACCTGGTGCCAATTCGCCTAAGCTTCTGGATTGGTTGGTTACAGCCAGTAAGGGTCCAGGGAAATCAGTTCTTTTATTTGCTTTTCTTTGGGAAGGAGAGAGTAGATCATCATGCCTGCCAGAGCTCAGCCTTCTGCCATATTGTGGAAGACTTTGTGCTTCCTTTTTTATGTAAGTATGTAAGGATCAGCATCCTGGAGTGACCGGGAACAGGAGAGTGGCAGGTAGATTGATTAGGTGAGATCAGAGTCTTGGCCAGCTTGGCCAGTCGGCCTCATCTGTTAGACCTTCAGACTTTAAATAGGAGCCAGTGTGGGAACAATGGAAAGAGTCCCCGGCTTGGAGCTGTGCCTGTCACGGACACCTGGCTATCTGTCGACAAGGTGTGTGGCCTCCCTGGGCCCTGGTTTCCTCTTCTGTAAAATGAGGCACTTGGATTTTCAGCACCCTTCTGCTCTCAATCTCTCATCGTGTTTTTTGTGTTTTCTTGAGAAAACCCCAAATCATCCCGCAAGGTTTTAAATCCTACTGTTGTCACGTACCTTAATTTAGTTAGAAGAGTGATTTTCTTTTAAGTTTCTTTTATAAGATAGGTAGTTATATGATACACTTTACATAAATAGATTTTGAAAACTTTGGGGTTGAATGTGCATGAATACAGAATGATTCGAGAAATTGTACTTATCTGCAAGAAATTTTATATTTTATGTCATTAATGGACTAGTCACAGACCCTCTCTTTTTAAAGACATAGTTTGCATTTTGATAGATTTCTGTCCCTTTAAAACATTTTTTATCAACTGGAAGTATAAACATTTAAAAGTCCGTAAGCTATTGGTTTCTAATACATAAGTATGCTAAATGAGAAAAATGCTGTGTTTTAAAATAATTGTTTGCCATTTGCCTCCAAGTATCTTCGCTATTTTTAGCTCATGACAAGCATCATTGTCATTGAAAAATCCATCCTGCAGCAGTCTGGCGATATTTTCCCATACTTTGTTAAGCTCAAGATGGCACGTCATAGTTCCAGAAAACAGTCGTGAAGGGAGAATCTTCAGTTGTGAAGGTGCTCCCATCTCCTTTGGTGATCATTAGAAAGGGAAAGCGGGAGGGCTCCAGGCCTTTCAATGCCCAGGATTGGCTTGTTTTGTTTGAGGGCAGTAGGTGGGAATCTTGACGTTTCACTAGTAGTTTGCCCGAGTTGGTCACGTTTCCTTGTTTGGAATCCTGTGCCTTAATGTCTGTAGATGGTCTCGACATCTCTTTACTGGAGAGAGAAGAAATGGCAGCACATTCTAGGCACAAGGTTAACATCAGTGGAAACCATCAATCGACACTGAAGATAGAGTTGAGCTCTCAGCATTTTACCGTGTACTACTAATGTCTCAGAAAGGTGGTTTCGAGATGGCCAAGCTTAAGACTGTTCAGTCCATCCCCTGCTTCTCCAGCAGAAACTCCTACTTATTTGTAGACTTGAATGTTTATTCTCCTTGGAGCTCTCCTCGTTATGTCATGATTTGTGTGAGTGTGAAATGCCTTTTGGCAATAGTTGTACTTGCTGTAGCTAGTAATCACTGCTGTGGTAAAGAATTATTAATAAATGATCTCCAGCTGACTAGAAACGTTTTTCCTTTGAGGCAGTTATTTGTCCCTGTCTCAAACAGGTCATCCTCTTTGGAAAGAACTTACTAATCATTTCTTTTACAATCAAAGTAGCTAATTGTTCTTGGGACTGCCTTGACAGGCTCCTTTCAGAAAGAAAACAGTCCTTAGCTGTCCTCCTTCTCCATTTCTCTTTTGATGCTTAATCCTCGACTGTTTTGCAGCTTTCCGGTTGTGACCACGGTGTATTATTTTAGGAGGAATTGGGCCTGGCTTTGATTAAGAGTAAACTTCTCACAGCACCAGCCCCAGGAAGATACTTTATACACATTTGATCCTGACTGAAATGGAGATTTCTGCTTTCTTATTCCAGAATGCCCGTAGATTTCAGTGGACGCATGATGAATTCCTAAGTACTTCTGAAAAAGATGCTTAACACGAAGTTTTCGTGACCCAACACTTTGCCAAGAGCCTTTAGTAACATTTCCACTAAATCAGAATCCCATCATTCAGGAACTCCAGGGAACCTGTCATTTGATGTTTCTGTCTGTTTAATGAACACTTTTACCACACCGGGCTCATCCCAAGTTTCTCTTGAGCTGTTGATCCAGACCCAAGTACCTGGGGGCAGAGTTTGAGAACTTGTCGGTTCCTGTCAACCACTTAAGTCCTCACCTGCACCTTGGTTGCCTTCCGCAAGCCCTGGGATTTCTTGCTCCAATTTGCCTTCTTTCTCTGAGGACTTGGAAGGATTCTGAGCCTTGGTGATCTTGTCAAAGATTCATCAGGGCACCCCGAGCCATAGGGATGCTTTCCAGTGTTCGACAGTGCCCTCCAAGGTCGTGGATTCAGATCCTGTTCAAGCTCACTCAGACTTACTCAGTCATGCACCTTGGTGGCACGTGTTTGCTTGCCTGTTGGGGTTTGGGGTGTTTTTGAAAAGTCATCTCTTTGGAGAGCCATGTGCTTTTCTGTGGAAGAAAGTAGTGACCTACCTCCAGCCGGAGTGAGCACCATTCTTTTATCCTTCATTGGAAGCAGTTTAGGAAAATATGAATACCGTAGTCTTGATGGATGGCGCATTTGAAGAAGGTTGTATTGTTATTTCGATAACTTTTTCTTTTTTTCATAAAGTTATTTCTTTATCAAAAATGAACAGCCAAGCCAGTAACTAGGCCGCCATTTCGATGCTGCTTCTTGTGAGACTCTTGGTTCTAGCTGTGTGAAAGAGTTATTGATGTGTTTTAGTGTCTTTGGACTGCAGTGGGAAGATGGCTGGTGTATTTGTTTCCTTTCAGTCAGACTAAATGGCTTTTTCACTGTTTTCCAGGTTCTCATATTTACTAATATGCCGGGGTATTTATCTCTTTGGATCCTAATTATTTTCTATTATCTTCAACTTGGATTGGAATTCTATTAACTGATCATTTTGGAACGCAGAAAGACCACTGCATTTCAAGTAATTATGCTGGATCACGTTGGAGACGCCAGCCGTCCTTAAAACAAATCAAAAACATGAACACTGTCGGAGGAAATCTTTGACATTTATGAACCTAAGCTCTTCATTCAGTCCATTCCCCCATCTCTGTAAGTTACAAGTCATGCACGTTGCGGTTCTGTGACATTGGTCCGTTTTTCTCCTCTTCCCA